TAGTAAAGACAGCTGCTCATGAGTCTAACATTATATGTTGTGATGCTCATGATGCTTGCTCATCGAAACTTTTAAGTCGTTCTTCTGTCTAGAATCTGGTAGAACCTGGCTCAAAAATACTCATGATGCTGCCCTGCTGATCCACAGCGAGTGCGGACCAAAGACACTACTAAACTCCCTAAACTCGTTTCCGTTACATTTAGAATAACTTCGAACCGAAACGACTTACTTCCTGTCTTCTTATGTATTACTGGGCCCCCTTGATTTCAGAAGCTACGGTTTAGGGTCGGGTTACAATAACGAGTAACATAATGTCAGTAAGTAAAACGTGGTAGAGAATAAGTCGGTGTGTGTGTGTGAGTCGCGTGTGTGTGTGCGTGTGTGTCTGTGTGTGTGTGTGTGTGTGCGTGTGTCTGTGTGGGGGTGTGTGGGCGTGTGTGTTTTAAGGTTCAGAGGCTGAGGACGTGCTTGTTTTTTGTGATTATACAAACTTGTTGGGCATCTCAGCTTCCAGCTTCAGGCATGCAAGAAACTTGGATTGAAGACATCAAATTGAATTAAGCAAGCCTTGAGGATTTTTTCTTTGGGTGTGGGGCCCTTAGGGTCTAAGCTAGCCCAGCATATATTGTCAGCATCAGCATCCTGCAGCAGCAGCAACCAACGGCAAGATGCGGATGCGGCCACTTCATTTTCGAGGACCGCCGCTGTGTCATGTCTGTAGTCGCGAGGTTCTCAAAATTCAGGAGTTAGGCTCCATCCATAAGACCCATCTTCAGTAAATTAGTCGAACGGTCTAGCAGCTGTAAGGAACCCTAAACCCTAAAGAAGGCCCGAAAACCCTTTGGAGTGCTAGGGTGATATGAGACCCGTACTTTGTAGTATCGTGTAGGAGGATCAGGAAGGAGCCTTCTCGTGCCAGGCGTAAGGAAAAATGTTCCGGCATCATTGCAACTGAGCTCCAGACACGACCCATATTCACTGATTTATTACAGTGGTCTAGGAACTATTCTAAGAAACCCTATATAAGGACCCAAGACCCTTTAAACTTTGGAGGCTAGGATGCCGCTACTTTGGAGTATCCTGTAGGAGCATCAGGAGCGTAGCCTTTGCTGTCACAGCAAACGAAGCACTTGCTGCTTTTGCAGCTCCACCAGATCCTTCAAGAAGTAAAGTGGCTTCTTCGGGGAGATCTCCTGGGGCAGCATATGGTATTGGGCTTTGGAGGGGCCTGGCTAGCTTTTTAGGGCTTTGTTTATGGAGGGTTTACGGATAAGGTGATTGCTATTATTTCTCACTGGTGTGCGCACGTGTCCTGCTCGTCAGCATTGAAGCTAACTCGCCAAACCATCCGCAGCGTCTCGCTGTTTGTGAGCGTGCGGTTGTCAAAGAAGCTGGCTGCATTCGTGAACTTGAGGTTCTGCCCATTGTTCTTCGTGAACTTAAACACCAAGGGGGGTGCATCGCTGGTGGGCTCGATGACAAAAGCCGTTTCCTCGTCGTCTCCTTGCAGGGGCCCAGATAGCACGTTTAGGGTTCAGGGTTTAAGGGTTTAGCGAGCTAATGACCATCCACGGTGTCCTTCGTCGCGCCTCTCCATGTCGTGGGAGTTCAGCGTCAGATCCACGACTCCATTGGACTCCATCTCCTCGATTAGGAGCCTCGTGTTGTTGAACAACAAACATATGCATTTAGAATCTCCTCACTCAAGCCAAGAAACCGAATGATCGAGATGTCAGCATCCTTCAATCGGCGGCCCTCAGCCGTCTCGAAAACCACAGGATCGGAGTCGCTGTGCCAGGCGCAGATGAGGTTCGTCGGGTCCTTCATCGGGCCTGCCAGCATAGGGCGTGGGTTCTCTTCGGGGTCTAGGGTTTATAGGGCTCTGGGGTTTAGGGTGTAGAGTTTTGGGTTTCTTGGGTTCTGGGCTTGCAACTTTAAACTAGAATTCCGGGCAGGGTTTCCTTTAGGCTTAGGGACTTTGAGGGCTTGGTTTTTGTTTAGGGTGTAGGGTTTATGGGGTTTTGGGGTTTAGGGTGTAGATTTTTGGGTTTCTTGGGTTCTGAGTTTGGACATTTAAACTAGAATTCCGGCCAGGGTTTGCTTTCTAGGCTTAGGGACTTTGAGGGCTGGGTTTTTGTTTAGGGTGTAAGGTTTAGGGTGCAGCTGTCCTGGTGTGACATTGCACACAAGTTGCAACAAGGGTGCAGGGATTTGGGTTTCTTGGGTTCTGGGTTTGCAAACTAAACTAGAATTATGTGCAGGGTATGCTTTCTAGGCTTCGGGACTTTGAGGCCTGCTTTTTGTGTATTGCAATTTCCAAGGTTGCTTATAGGCTGTGGGGCTCAGGGATGTGGATTGCAGGTTATAAGCACGAGGGCCCTGGAAACATGCAGGATATGAAACGTACAACAAACCCGACTTGTTAAAGCAATCGGAGCTTTTTTGGGCCGCAGGCAATCACGATCTTCCTGGAACATATGCCGACGACTCGGAAGCTTCAGCGCACCGGGTTCTGGATCTTGACTAGTTTACGGGTATTGGCGGTACCATACATTTATTGTTAGTCACAACATGCTGCGACATATGATCTGGTATCACTTCGCTTAGATAGCAAGACGGGAATGCAATTGATACCAATCTAGCAAAGTGGAGTCCGATTCGTTGCACCATGGCAACCGTAAATATGGATCTCTCAGCCAACGTACTTGCCGATGGGATTCCTCAAGTACTGTAAACGAAGACGAAGCAAACATGCGAGCATCATTCGGTACCATGTAATACCACAGCCCCCGTCCGAATTTGGATAAGCGCAGCAGCCGATGAACAGGCAAGCAGGAAGACCTGAGCCCCAGCACACTTTCTTCATCGTCCCGATGGATTGTAACCCCATAGCATCGGAACGTTGTGGAAGCTAGTTGTTCCGGCAACCTAGTTGTTGCCAAAGGCACACACACCTGCACCCAGACCACGGGAGCCCATTGTTGGTTAGGTCAGGTTCACATCACCAGGACCCTTACCGGTTACGTCACCATAGACCCAGGGGTTCATTGGAATGACACCAACTTGAGACAACTCTTCGATTGATTCTCCCAGGGCCTGGGCTGTGGTGCTTAAAATCTTAGGCCCATCTTCGCCTTTTCAGCTCTGCAGCCGACAGTCCCCTCTGGGCATTCACTCGCAACGGATGGGTTTTCCACCTTAGTGCTAAGCGTTTGTATTTGCGGGTGTAATAACCTATTATACTGGTGACAGTAAGAACAGCAGTCCTGGTAGTAGTAGTAGTAGCAGTAGTCGTCGTCGTCGTCGTAGTACTAGTAGTAGTAGTAGTAGTAGTAGTAGTAGTAGTAGTAGTCGTAGTAGTAGTAGTAGCAGCAGTCGTAATTATACTAGTAGTAGTAGTAGTAGTAGTAGTAGTAGCAGCAGGAGTAGTAGGAGTAGTACTAGGGGCAGGAATCTTGTTGTTTTTGTTGTTGCTGCAGCTGCTGCTGATGTTGTCCTTGTTTTGCTCGTTGCTGTTGTTGTTGTTGTTGTTGCTGCTGCTGTTGTTGTTGTTGTTGCTGTTGGTTCTGTTCTTCTTGTTGCTGTTACTGTTGTTGTCGTTGTTGTTGTTGCCGCTGCTGCTGGTCGTGGTGATTGGTTTTGGTGCTCGTGGCTATTGAGTCGTTGTTCTAGTGGCGGATGATGGACGTGGTGCTGACTTTACTCTGTTAGTGGTGGTCGTGCCTCACCCCTCCTTAGGTTTAGGGCTCCAACTCATTATTTTTATTATACATATGGGATGCTGGGGGATTGGGGTGCCTGGGTTAGGGTTTAGGCCTTATCGGTGTTGAAAACTGTCATGCTTTAATTCCGTAGCAACAACTGGGAGCGGCACTGCTCGGCGGCTTCTTTCATGAGCTGGCCCAGCTTCTTGCCTTCGTGCTTGTGCTCGCGAAAATAGTCCTGGGAGAACTTCTTCCATCCTTCGGTGAGTGCCGTCTGCTTCCTTGGCTGCGGCTCCTCAACCGGCCTCTTGCCACTCGAGGAAGTCGCCCCGCCCTCGATCTTATTCTTGCCCTTCTTGCCATCGTTCTTCTTCGAGTTCGATGACTTTGCCTTTGGGGTCGCCTTGTTCTTGGGCGCTGTCGATTTCGGGCTTTGCTTGGATGTCTTGCCCTGCTCCTCGTCTGGCAAACCATCGTCCTGCTTGTCTGCCGAACCACCCTCGGAATCCTCGTGCTCATCTGCCGAACCACCCTTGGAATCCTCGTCTTCGTCTGCCGAACCACCTTTGGAATCCTTGCGTTCGTCTGCCGAATCACCCTTTGAACCCTTGTCCTTTGAGGTTTTCTTCGGGGACGTCTTCTTGGGTTTCCCCGAATTCTTCTTCCCCTCCGGAGGAACGGTTACCTGCTTCCCCTTGGCCTCCGAGGTTTTCACGGCAGCCTTGACGGCTGCTGCGACGGATCCTTTGGCCGGCTCCTGGGAAGGCAGCAGCCCGGGGATAGTGTTGGATGTCATAACATTAAAGTGTTTCACACAAGCCACCTAGTAATGTACTGCTTGAATACCTATACAACTGTAGGGGCTGCAAGGGTTAACACTATTGTATTATTGGGGACCCTGCAACAATGAGTCTGGTGGTTGTGGTGGTGTTTTGGTTATAATGCATATCATTGTTTCGTGATGCACGACCGCATGGTAGTCGGGCTGGAGATGTGAAAAAGCTTCAGGTCGAGGATTATACATGATGGCATAGCAGCCAAAATACAAAGATGTCCATGCTTCACATTCACGACTTTGGCATCAGTCCACTTGAGGGCTATATGCTGCGTGCAGCACAGTTGAGTGCTCCTATGTGGATTTCGGCTGAAAGGTCTAGGCTACTACTCGTCTATAAGGTCCGGAAGCAAGACATAGCAACACACGAACGGGTATTGGGCGTTCTCGCCTTGTTGGGCTCTTCAGTCTTGGCCGGGGTCTTCCCAGCACCCTTCTTCGGATCCTGTTTCTGCAGCTTGAGCTCGGTCTCCAGCTTCTTGGACACCACATCAATCTCATGCTCCAGCTCAGGATCGTCACATTTCTGGGTGCTCGGGGCTGGGCTCACCTCAACAATCTGAGAACGAGGTGGCTTTGAATCCGTCTGGGGGGTGAGGCCCATATTCGAGTCCAAAGTAGCCCCCCGTCTGTAAGCACCTCCCAAGACCTGAGTACTGGCGTCGGACAGTACCGATAGCTGCCTCCTCACCGGCGTTGGCGTGAGTGTTCTTGCCAGGCTCGCGGCGGATTTGGGGCGTGAGGCACCAACTTCGTCGTCAGGATTCAGTGGGGCTGCAGGCATATTGCTGTGACTGGTCATGAGGAATGTCATGAGGTCGGAGTCAAGGTCGCTGCCAGCCATAAGGAGAACAGGGTTCTAGCTGCACAAAAAGGTTGGGACGTCTCGAGGCCCTAGACTTTGCGAAAACATGTCAATGTCAGCACATATTCACAGCACTGATGCAATGTCACTGTTTGCCCTTCCGGCTTTTTCTCGCTCGCTGTCTCTCTGGCTCTCTCTTTCTCTCTCTCCTCCCTCAATGTCCTCTCTCTGTCTTTTTTTTTCTCTCTCTCTCTCT